CCATCCCATCCCATCCCATGTGGGTACCCACGTTGCATCCTGACTTCTCGGCGCCGCCGGCGCAGATCATGGTGTCTCGGATGGCGATGGGCCCCCACCAGTCGAGTTGGGTGCAGTGCTCGTGGTCCACCACTGGCAGCTCCGCCTGCTGCAGCTTGTCCGGCAGCGGCCCCCCGGCTGGGGGTGACACCGTCAGGGGATCCATCCCACGTCCATCCGTCCGTCCATCCATCCACCCATCCAACATCATTCATCCAACATCATTCATCCAACATCCATCCATCCAACATCCATCCATCCAACATCCATCCATCCATCCATCCAACATCCATCCAACATCCATCCATCCATTCATCCAACATCCATCCATCCAACATCCATCCATCCAACATCCATCCATCCACCCATCCAACATCCATCCATCCAACATCCATCCATCCAACATCCATCTATCCAACATCCATCCATTCATCCATCCAACATCCACCCATCCAACATCCATCCATCCAACATCCATCCATCCATCCAACATCCAACATCCATCCCTCCACCCATCCATCCATCCAAAATCCACCCATCTAACATCCACCCATCCAACATCCATTCGTCCAACATCCATTCATCCAACATCCATCCACCCAACATCCATCCATCCATCCATCCATCCATCCGTCCATTCATCCATCCACCATCCTTCTATCCAACATCCATCCATCCATCCAGCCATTCATTGATCCACCATCCATCCATCCTTCAAACACTCCTTCCTTCCCTCCATCCCCACATCCTTCCATCCTTCCCTCTGTCTCTCCGTCACTCCCTCCATCCATCCCCCATCCCTCTATGCCCCTATTCCTCAGCTACCCCTCCAATCATCTCTCCATCCACCCATCTCCCCACCCATCCCTTCTCCATCTCCCCATGCATATCCCCATCCTCCCCCATCCTCCACCCCTTCTCCACCCCTCCACCCAACCATCTCCCTAGCCCTCCATCCCTCCATCTCCCCATCCTTGTCTTCCCACCCATCTCCCCATCCATACCTCCAACCCTTCCCCATCCCTCCACCCACCTCCCCAACCATCTCCCCACCCATCCCTTCACCATCCCATCCACCATCCAACCACCTCCCCACCCCTCCATCTCCCCATCCCTCCCCCCACCTCTCCAGCCATCTCCCCACCATCCAACCATTTCCTCATTCCTCTCCCCACCTCCTTACCCATCTCCCTACCCACCCATCCCTCCATCTCCCCATCTCTCCTTCCCATCCCTCCACCATCCCATCCACCCCACAACCATCTCCCCACCCCTCCAGGGACCTCCCCAGCCATCTCCCCATCCCATCCACCCCCATCCATC